CACAGCAGTTCTCCTCTAATTCCACTTCCATACTCAATGCAGATCTGTAATGTATTCCCTGAATGATCGTGTAAACAACTTGTGCACGTTTCGCCGTGAGTTGTTCTACAACTTGTTGATGAAGAATGTGGTCCCTTCACAAACGCACTTGTGTACTCAGTATTCCATATGAACAAGGAGATCTTGCTTTAAGAAATTAAAACTTTGGGTAGTCGGATGCGCGTAACGGCAATGTTGTGCGAATAGCGGCACTGGAATAGATAGCGACTAATCGTAGTAGATGCTGTCAGGAATTTACTCTATCATTTTGGAGAAAAACTCGTGCAAGTGGGGCCTCTGCCAAACATCATTCGGTTGGGCACGTACGTGCACTGTAAATTTTGCTATCATTATAGCACTATACACTTCTATCCACTGATCAGTGCGGTATACTGATATGTCCATTATACAAAACATCAGATAATAAGTAAAAAATCCGTCATTTAAGCATATTTTAATTATACACAACGTGGTCACAGCTTCGCTACGACGTATTTACAATCAACATTGAAAACCGACATAAAATGTGCCTCTTATTTACTTGGACACTTGGACGGCACCTCCTCACTGCATGTAGGGCCCCAGCATATTCCACATATTTTGGAGTTTTGCTGGTTTAGCTATTGTGGTTCTCCGAACCCCCGAGTTGTGCCTAGCCATGGTCCGCCCCAGGTCATCACCACCACAGGCAGTTGCCGCCCTTGTGGATTAGAAGGAGGTTTGCCACCGTGCGACTGTTTTGGTACAGAGACGGTAGTGGATCATGGTACTGGTTTACTCTTAACTGTGCTTTCTGATGGAAACGCCGAGCTCTTTCTCAGAATGGAAGACTCTGCTAGGGGAATGAATCTCCCAATTGCACAGCGCAGCCTGACATCCGTGAACACCTCTCAGCCACGATGAGGCGGCAAACCGTTTGGAGGTACAGTAGCCTCTAGATGTTGAAAACCTCCCTTTAGCACATTGCTAAATGTGATGTTACTAAAAAACGTTTACTTTGTAATAATAACACTATTGATCAGTACGAGACAATAAAAGGCGAGAGTCGTCGACTTTCATATGATGTAGCAATTTGATTTCGCTTCAAATGTAGCAATTTGATTTCGCTTCGTCTGTGTTTATAGATGGCTGAGTTCGCCATGTTAAGCTGAATTCAGCACCTCGTCAGCGCTACAATGAAACGGCACAATTCACTTACTGTTCCAACTGTGCGTACAATATTGCATCGTAGATAGTGGGATAGAAATTAGTCTTCGCTACGGACTTGTACAAACCGCTCGCTTCAAACAGTTCGCGAACCGGGGCTGCAATAGTCCTCTACAGTATAGGCGTTCAAAACTAGCCTTTTTCTCAAGACTCCTATCACGCGTTCGATTTCCTCGGCTTTTATTTCCACATTTCCATCCATGAGCTCTTTCTCCATATTTGTTATTAGAAACTTGTGACCACTAAGAATAATGGTGGTGCAGAAAATAAGTGCAACACAAACCTTTAGCAGCCGCGAATGAGACGGTTATATTCCTTGATTGCAAATCTTCATAAACCTAAATAACAACTAAAAACTAAGTACGCTTTTCGTCATAGTTACATACTCAAACTATATGACTCTTAATTTTGTTTTGTCGTTTCTATAAAGCGTAGCTCAACTGAGGTGCAAGGACAGTGCGAGTTATGACGGAAATGAAGGCAGGAACATCGCATAATATGTTTCCGATGGCGAATGTGAATGCGTAGAATAGCTTTCAGTACTTACTGGCTTTAGTACGACTCTTCCGACTCCATGTTTTTTTCACCAAGATATGAACAGAATAAGCTAAAATTTGGGAGAAAAAATATGGATAGAAAACACTGCAACTATGGCTCAAATAGTGATGAGTACGTGAAGCATTATGGAGCGCGCAAATGTTAAGCCAAAGGGTTAAAGAAGTGCGTCTTCATTGACCGATTAAGAGGCATCCCGTCTGTATACCTCATGTGGTTGGTCTAAAACCAAGAAAAATTTTTCTGATTTTTCTGATCTGATCTGATGGGCAAATGGAGGAAAATAAGGGAAATCATTAAAAGTAGACCAGTTGCACGTTCCTTTGAAGGGAAACTACTTGTGGTATTCCATACCTCTTTCAGCGTGTTCACTCCCATGATGTCGACATAGGCGAACCCAGAGCAGTCAATGATCAGGAACCGCTTCTGATCTTGTGGTAGAACAGTTGTTGGTTCAGCTTTCTAAATCAGAGAGCCTTCAGAGTTTGTTTTCACCAATTACAATTTGACGGAGTTCGTGTTTTATATACTTACAACAAGTAGGTGAACGTAAATTTGCTCACATAATTCTGGTCTTCTATAATCAGTTGCTTCTTGTCGATATTCCCGCAAAATTTCGTACCGTTCCAGTCCCTTGCCAGTTTTTCCACAACCTTGCGAAAACGCTGCACATTCGTGAATAACAGTGGTGAATCAAACCGCAGCACACAAACGTTCTACAAATTAAACTTTTACAGTTGGATACGGTAAAGAAAGTTTTTGTTTTGTTTGAAACTGGTCAACAATGCGATAAAAAATTCAAGAACGAAGAATGATGACCTTCATTACCATAATTTGTCATGCTTTCGTTGTTCAGAATTAGGAAGGCTGTAAACTGTGTCAGAGTGAGCCAGGTTTGCGAGTCATGAACTCATAGACAGTGCTATATGTTCCTTCCAGCTTCACAGGCCACATTTTGAAGTAAATGAATAGGTTCGGAGTTTTGCAAATATCTCAGCATCGCTGCGGTTGTATTTCGTATAATACCTTGCCATGAGTGTGATTTCAACTACAGCGTCAGCTTAACTGGGTTCAATGCCGATTTGGGCTCCCCAGATCAACCTCATTGACGGGTGATTGCTGATGGCGCTGATCGATAGAAATAGCTGAGAGACAGGCGAATCGAAGGACCCGCATGGTGTGGTGGTGAACGCTTTAACCCCTGGAACGGTAACAGCGCGTTCGTTACCCACTGCACAGGCCTGCGGTGCGGCGTTTTGTAAATATCTCAGCATCGCTGTGGTTGTATTTCGCATAGCACCCTGCTGTGAAAAACTTTAGTAGGCAGCAAATAAAAAGTAAAATATTAAATGAGTAGGCTTGACGTACATTAAAGAAATACGTGTGTCTATAGCGCTCCATGTCTCGGAATTCACTCGTGTCGGAAATGTTGCCGAGAATATGCCATCTGGGCCTGTAACATCCGCTTATAAGCACGAATTCGGTTGAGATAGTCATAGCCTGCCAGTGCGATTTGTAGATCCAGTCGACGGGGTTTGTGCGATGGGACTCACCACTGCACGCGAATCACTGTGGTGAAGAGGGCGAAAAGAATAGCGATAGCCAGTCCTTGCATTACATCCGTGACCAGAGTAGCAACGAAAGCAGTCACCCAGATACTCTAAAAAAACAAATAGTACAAATACTGGTGATTCTGAACATGAGGTCAGGATTTTTAAATGCATAAGGACTCGAATAAGTTCTGTTAAAATTGTTTAGTCAAAGCAGTCAACTTTATTAGAACATGTATACTTGATACTTGAATGGTTGTGCAAGCTCCAGCATAATCTCCACTGTTCGGGGATTTGCTGGTTAAGGCATTGTGGTTTCCTGGAATCCCGAGGACGCGCGGCCAAAGTCTGCCCCAGGTCGTTACCACGACGAGCAGTCGTAGCCCTTGTGGATCAGAGGGAGATTTGCCACTACGCGACTTTGATGCCGGGATGGTGGTGGATCTTGGTATTGTTTTACTCTTAGCTAGGCTTTCCGATGGAAACGCCGCGTTCCTTCTCAAACTGGCAGACCCTGCCAGGGAGACGAATCCATCCGCTGCACTTCGCAGCCGGACACCCTTGAACACCTTTCCGCCACGATGAGGCGGTAAACCATTGGGAGGAGAATATGTATTACACGGTAAAACTAGAGCCCGTGCATAGAGCTACTTGCTTCATGGTCTAAACTTCACTTCTTGCGACAAACTTTGATGACTGCGCAGTTTTCATATGTCATCTATGGGAGGCTTTTGTTTAAATCTTTTCCGAAGCCACAAAATCTCATTTCAACTAACGAAATCAATCTTGGAAAGCGACCAGAGCTTCTTCAACTGTTCGTACTTTCTAAACATTCCCAGTAATGCGACAATGATGATGGACGATAGCACGCACTAAAAAAGGACTCGTGAACTAAAATATTGTTGAAGTACACAGTGGCAGTGAGTGCAATTTTTCGAAGCAAAAGCTCATTGTATGGTCAATTTTTTCTATTGGAATCCATTTGCTTCTAACTGACAGAATTTTCTTCTGTTTTTTAGACTATGTTATCTTGCTGATGTTTCACTATTGCTGAAAAAGAAATTTGAAGGAGCAGTTGCTTACCATTGGTAGTGATTGAAGCCATGATCCACTGAATTGTACAACGACAAAAATAAACAAGCTGGAAGGAATAGAGCTGAGCTAAAATTTCAGTCCATTAAATTACAAAACCATTGAACATTTCACTGAGGTTGCAAAATTTAGCTGTTAACTTAATAAAAATATTTGCTGGACTAAAACCAATCAGAATCAAATTAAAAAGTTTTATGCGATTCTTAAGCCACTAGTGACCACGTGAGTTATGTGTGACTCATTCTCCTTTTGGGTCAAGAAAGCATTGTACTGGGAATGAGTAACGGGCTGCTTTAGATTTATCCCGTGGACAATATAGAGCTTGCTAAACTATCACCGATCCGTGGGTGGATTCTGGCGAAAAAGCAACTAAGAAGTCTCAAGTGAAAAATTGCAATCACATTTCGTTAAAGGGCAACTCGTTGGGCAGCTCCAGCTCATAGTGCGGGCGAATGTAGGCATTTCCCCTTTATCCACACAAGTCACTCGATGACTTGAAGGTCAATGGGTGTTGCAGACGGAGTATATTGTTCTATAAATTCGATGACCTATTGAATTTTAAAACAGAAGAGCTACCTGCGATTTAGCACCGGCACCAGCACTAACCATCGATCGAGAAAGACTGCAAGAAGGCGGAAATATTGGGAAAAATCCGCTTAACACCGATGTGAAACCCACCGCATAGAATTCCTAGAAGTGTTTGACAATGCATCACATGAATTTACTTATTTACATTTTGGAGAATGTTTTTACAACTCCATAGAAATTTTAAGTGATCTGTTGAAGAATCGACATAGTCAGTTGCGCTTTACTATTCTTCACTCCCCCCATAATTTGCGCTACGCAGAAAAGTGAACCTACAGTGATCTAGTGCGTCAACTTAGCTGGGGGCTGGCGGGGGTCTTGGGTGCGGAGCTGTAATATACGTACATCAGGGCTTCATCCCTTCAGCCACAGAATCTCGCGATATGAGATGTTCAACATTTCTATTCTTTAGCAATACAAGAGTAGGTTAGAGCTTGGAATTATTGCTGTCTTACTAACAACTGGTGATGAGAAATGTTTATTTATGCTGGTAAGCGTTAGCACTTGAGACTCCGAGGGAAGAAAACCTTCCTCAACCAATGACTTACTTACCAGTCAAACAGAAATTGTCTCGGGGTTTGCACAGTTCTTCGTGATTGGTGAAGATAAGTCATTCATATAAGGTTAAAGGAAAACATTTGGGAACAACATTCCTCAGCAAGATGTATAAAAGAAACCACATCAGACGCTTTAGAGATCACCATTTCTTAGGTATTCGGGAAGCAAACAGACCTGATTAGTGTTGACTTCGTACTGGTATTTCTTGGCGAATATCTTCGCCAGCGAAACATGAATAGCCATTGTCACGACAGAAATCGACAGTGCATCAACAAACAACGAAGGGAAAAGTTCAAAGTGAGGAAGAGCAGGCTCCGGCAGGCTGTGGCAAAGAGAATTTTCCATAGAAGAAAAGATGGATGCGTTTGAGATTCATAATATTTGGTGAATATGCTTTTAAAAACACGAAAAATTGTACTGCTCACCCAATTGGTAACCGTCCAACAACTGCCACATTAAAATTAACATTTAGATGTGCTAAGGAAGAAATGATCGTTCCAAGGATAACCTGAATTGTTCAGTAATATTCCAAACTTATTACTAGAAAAAATGGTTTACCAAGATAAACAGTAACGCATGTTTTCTACTCTTACGTTGTTCAAAGTTGGAAAGTGGCGAAGGAGCTGAAAACAGCAGAGTCAGTTTCACTTTTTGTACGTCGATCTGCTTTTCAACTTCAAGAAGCTATTCAGCACGACTCAATCCAAGCCAAACATTTTTGTGTGCTCTAAACACCGAGTTAAACCAGTGGCCATCGTGGTCTTCGCCAAAAGTAGCCAGTGGTTCCATTAGGCAAATCGTATTTTCGGCATGGAGAGAATAACGCTCCCTTCCTGCAGGGTTTGCAATGTTGCATCGTCTCCAACTATTTCTCTCCACTTCTTGCAGCAATCGGTGCTGTCACAGGGATCATTGTCTTGTTGCGAAAATTATAATCGAAGTAGAAGATTTTTCTTCTCTCAACCTGAGAGTGTTTGTAACGCAGTTGTTAAGAAGGTACAGCTATATATACACGTCGTTGGTTCGATGTTGCTTCTACAGGAAGCGAAGCCACCTATCAATGCCTGATGAAGTCGATTGTATGGTGGATGTTGGAAGAATTGATTAGTGCCGAATGCTTTGTGCTTTATTTCTACAATCCTGGAAATATTTTATCTTTAATAAAAGGATTTTGGAGAGAAACACACTTTACCACTATTCAATATGCCAGTGAAAATAAAAGACGACAGAACTTCAGCTTGTAGCCAGCCCCCACGTCCAAATTCGACTATCTTCGTGCATGACTTTTACGAGACAAGGAACCAAGTGGAAGAACTGCTGGCACCCATTGAAATTCCATTTTGGATCAACTGAATCCTTAAGTATCGTTCCCATAAAATATAGTGCTGATGCTATTTTTGCACTTTATGTGCGCCATCACCTGTCACCTCTACTATTTTCGTCTAGTTGATCATAGAGTGACTGGAACGGTGGCTAGTAGACCTTTCATTTCCATCTGCGCGTGCAATTGTAGCTCGGTGCGTTCTTCTCGCTCTAGGGACTAGTTGAGTATCACATCATATATTTAAGCTAAAACGAGGTTGATAAAATAGACTTTATCCAGGCTAACCTTTTGGTACCTTGGCATTCTTCAGAGCCAGATTGTTCCGAGTCAGTTGTACACAATTGCTACTTTTTCCGATGTGGGTAATCGAACGTGAATGCACGGAAAGCGTTGGCCAAAAAATTTTTTTACCAGCCTCGTGCTAGCTTATCAATGAAAAAATACGCATTGACTAGCTATGCCAAGGTTAAAGGATAGTCTAGACTTTGGAGCATCATATCATCACGCTAAGGTTTTTGTGAAGGGATCTGACCATCGGGTTGACGGTCGAGATTAAAATCCCTAGGAACCCAGCCTCTAACGTCTTTTTTCCATCAGTTTTCATCCAAAAGTATAACTCCTCGAGACCATCTTATGTTCGATAATTTAGCATATAGAACGGTTTCTTTGATCTTTGATCGTTGACGTAAATCAGAGCTTCGGATTCCATCACTTACTTGCGTGGTGGAGGATTACTCATGGCATTGTCTTTTCGACAGCGACGATTCTATGACGCTAAGTGCTCCTCAACACTGAATAAGTAGCGGCCAGGTTTCTGACTCAGACGTTGTGAAGGATTGTGGAGTAGATGAGGTGGACACGGATTCGAGTGTTTTTTTCCTCACTATATCCTCGATGCTCTTGAAAGCTCCTCAAGGCGCTCGTTTCTTTCTGCTCAACTCTGGAGCTAAGTCGTTCACTGTGTGGACTCCACGATCTAGATAGACGTAGCTAGAGCACCGTGAGATATTCATTACTTTGAGCGTGAGTGGGACGCAAGAAATCAATCCGTTTTCTATGTAAATTATTTTTGTTAGATTTAGTCAAAACCAATCCTTCCACAAGGTTTATCAAAATCGGTAAGCATTTGTTTCGGCTGGTTATTCCTTGGTGTTATAAGACTAATTTTGCTAACAAAAGCGAAGGTGCTGTAATTGCACAAATTTAATTTTTTACGTCCATGTTGTCCCATTCCAAGTTTCTCATGACGTTCTGGAGGGTGACGCTAAATAATTTTTTGGCAATGATATCCATTTCCTAGCCCCTCTTATTGTGTCGATGTTAATATCGTTGCAGAATGGTGATATTTTGGCCGTAAAATCTTTATATATCTCACAAAAAAATCTATGTATACTTAGTACTAACGCTTTAACTGTCTTGAGTTTCCATGACCGCTTGTATCTCAACATTGTCAAAAGCTCCCATTAAATCGATGAGGGTGAGATAGAGCGGTCTCTTACACTCTCACGCTACTTTAATGAGCCTTGTTATTGCGTGTATGTGGTCCATCCTCTTTCTGGAAGCTGTAGCTGTTCTATCTAAGTCGGAGAACAATCATTTTGGTTTTGTAATTGGCGAAGCTTCGGTGGGCTTTGCCCATACTCTGCATACTCTGACCATAACTGCTGCTATTCTCTCTTCAAGATCTTCTTTTATCGACTGTCTAGATTGTTATGCAAATTCGGACGTTAGTTCGCGGTTGCCTGCGGCTCGTGTGATTCAACGTTGGCGTATCAGCTCGAGAGCTTCTGGTGACAGACGTCTCTTGGTGACTTTCGATCACTCTGCTTTCACAGTGCGTGAAGATCGTGTATCGTGAAGACGCTGAATGAGCCGATCGTATTCCTCGTCGATGTCCAGAACGGCATCGTTCCAGCAGTTACTAAAGGCCCGAATGAATTCCAGTTCGTGGAGGTTTTGAGACCCCGTTTTTCAAATTTATTGATTTCTTGTCCATTTTGCTGGAAATGAAAACATGCACGAAGGAGGCGATGATCTGGGACCATCTAGAATTTTGGCACAACAGTGACATCGGTTAAGAAAAACCTTTAATTTACTATGACGTGGTCTAGTTCGTTATGGTCCTCACCACTGGGAGATTCCCATATCCACCGCTGAAGGGCCTCTGGAATTGCGAGTTACCATGAGCACCGTGCTCGTTCCATTCGAATCCTTTGATCCTTATGTGACGTTCTTCAGACGTTCTTCTTGGTCCAATCTTGGCGTTGAAATCTTCAGTGATGGCCTTGAAGAATATGCAATATTCTTTGTGGAATTTCTTCAAATCCACGCTTCGACTTTATCCTAGTCATAGCTTCTTATCGAATCATCATTAATCTTGCTCAGTCTACTTAAATTTTACATTTTATGTGCTTATGTAGAGCTACTCATCTGTTATTTATATGTCGGAACGGAAATTTGTCGGAACGTGATCTAACTAAAGACAAGCGTAATCTGCGCTGTATAGTATTCATTTAACTCCACGAAAATTGCTAAGTTTGGTCGGTATTGATCTATTTTCTTGCGTTCCTTTGTATTCAGTTAGAAGTTCATTTCATTCCTCAAGATAAATCCAGAATTCATGGGGGGGTTTTTTGTGCTATCACAGGTTTCTAGAAAGAAGTCTGTTTTAAAATTGGTGCAGATCTCTCTTATAATGACTTTCCACACTTAAGAAAAGTCGATGAGTTCTACGCGGAACTTGTTTTTGGTTTCGGGAAAGCACTAAGAACCATTTTTGCATGGCTCAACACTATATGTGTCACATTAGGTAGATCGCAACACTTCTTGCACTCGACTCGTTTTTCTGTATCCATTATCTACGAAGGTAGAACTTTTGCGTGTGATTTGGGGTGCCTCATGAGAATCTTCGTTTTCGTTATAGACATCGTTGTATGCTGCTCTAGCCGGTTCCACCAAAAATCTGAGATGTGCCCACATTATGGCATTGCCACCTCGATTAAAGAAATGAACTTGTCGCAGATAAGTCTGGTACCGATTTCCAACTCCGGAGGAATGGAAGGTTTGGTGGGCTCGAGGTGTGGTCAAACCTGAGCCTCCCGCTTAGTGAACGGTATTATTACCACTGCGCCACCCAGTCCACCACCCATTATTTGTGTTGAATTGCAAATTTCAGTGGTATGGATTTGTAAAATAATGTGGGTAGTACAAGTAGAAAAAGGGCACTTCTCCTAAGTATGTCGTGGTTAACAAAATCGGTTGCTTTAGGTGCTTAGGTAACTCTCCCTCAACCATCCAAAGATTTTGAGAAATAGTATAGATAGTATAACAAATATGTAGGATAATAGAAATATAGAAAGGTGGTCATTTTAGGTGATGATTTTGCAGGAATTCATCTTTGTACATCTACTGTCAGAAGAGAACTCGTAGAAGCGTGACGAAACTTTGTCCTGATATGTCTACTTGTACTTTTTTTGGTTAAATTTGTACGACCTGCTACCCAGGTGTTTTTAAAAACTCCCGAGCATTCCCATAAGGATTTAAACAATGATAAAACCATTGTAGAGTAAGCTGCCTAAACATACCAGTACGAGTTCGAATGGAATCGGCACTGGACAGTGAAATTTCTTTTTCACCCACATATTGACGTAGTCTTTTCCCAGGATTAACACAAGCATTGTTACGGTAGACAAGCACAGAGTTATCAGATTTGTCCGTTTGATGGCTCCACAGAGATCGTAGATTTTCTGAACCACTTTTTATTTATGAAGCACGGAGTGGTTAGTGATGAAAAAAGTGAAAAGTTACACCACAAAAAAAATGACCATCATTCCCCTTTTTAGAATTCCAAAGATTAAAGGCAGAATATACTTTGGAAACATTTCGAAACTGACTTTCCTTGAACCTCGGTATCACTAATCAATATGAAGAGCAGTTTAACCAGTTGTTGAAACACATTCCAGCCCATCTTACTAATAGCAAGCCGTATTCGAACTCCTTCTACAACACGAAAGAGAAATAAACATGTATGGCTTCAAGACAGAGCTCTTAAAAGAATACTAAAAGAATAGCTGCTCAATCTTCAGATGATCCGGAAAGTACTACGCTCAAATAAGAGGGTTGGTAATGGGGCAACGACTGGCACCAAGTCTCGCCACTGCGCTTATGTCTAAGGTGGAAACACGGGTGATTGATCTCGGGCCGCTACTCTACTGTAGATATATAGATGACTGTTTTGTCCTTTGCTTGACGCAGAAATAGACAAGTGTTTCGAGTTGTTGAATAAGCAGTCAGAGTATATCAAGTTCACTCGAGAGAAAGCGAAAGAAAAATGGCTTCCATTCCTGAACGTCCAAATTAACCTATCAGAAAATGGCTACATTACGAAGTGGTACCGAAAGCCAAGTAGTAAAAACATCTTGGTTCATTACCTCTCCTCTCACCCCTCTTACACGAAAAGGGCGCTTATAAGAAACATGTTTCGAACAGCAACCAACGTGTGCACGGGAAGAGAGCAGAGAGAGGAGTCCCGGAACTTGGAGCGGCAAATAGCCATTTCCAATGGCTACGAATCTGTAGCTCGCGATAGGTGTAGGAGAAATCGAAGGCCTTCAAACGATAACTCTAGCGATAAAAAGGTCCCGTTTATACTATCTCAAATGATGTAAGTGCAGCTATAAAACGCTGCTTAAGAAGTGCGGGTCTAGAGAATTTGGTAAACGTAGTTGAAATACCACCGAGTAATCTTAGATGCCAGCTAGTTCGTAACTGCCTATATGTCCGTCTATGTGCAACCCAAAATTTCATAATTTGCCCCAATGGTAAAGGCGGTGATTGCATGAGCTCGGGTATAGTTTATCTGATCTCCTGTAAGGTGTGCGGAGACGAATACATTGGCGAAACGGGCAGACCCCTCTGTTACCGCATAAAGAAACACCCAGCTGGCAAGCATAAACCAAACACCCCGCTAGGCACGCATAGGACCCAGAGACATAACGGGGAGGTTTGATTTTCGTGTCACGATCCTCCCACAGGAAACAAGAACGCAAGCGCGCAAAACTCTCGAGGCGTTCTGGACTAGTTCCAGAAATCCGAAAATGAACCGCAGGGAAGAAGCCTCATTATTACGCTTGATATTGGGCAGTATATAAACCTGTTATTCTGATGGGAGGGACACATTACGCTTCCATGTGAATTCTGTGCGGTTGGTCTTCACGCTACATACTCAGTGGAGGACTCATAGAAAGCGGTGAGTGTGCGGAGCTGTGTTCAATGTGATGGAAATCTTGGTTTAGCGTTTTCTCTGTTTAGTTATGAAGGTGTTTGGCCGAATAGGTTGCTGTCAACATGACCTTTCCAGGCTCTGAGGAAGGCGAAATCCGCCGAAACGTCAGCTTTTACGTGAGTGGGGAAGTGGAATAGCACCTCGTGTTTGCTGAACAGAAGTGGAAAGAATTGTTCAATCAATGCCGAGGTTAATAGAAAGTTGGACGTGGGAGTTACTAATCAATATGTATTCTTTCTTTGATGAGCTTACACGAGATTGATAATGATATTTATTTTCGACTAACGTTTCGACGTCTTCGTCTTCCTTAGAAAGAATACTTTGGAAACAGTTATCCACTTAAAAAATCTTGAGCAAATGTGCACATACTTTTAACATTAAACTACTTTGCACAACTGTCCTAAATTGCGTCGCCTATGTTTTAGCCTTTGGAAAGTGAATTTGTTGGCTTCCAGCTTTTGCCACTCATTGAGAAATAGATTTCCTTGTATGTGTGCTGCTAAGAAAGCAGCAGAAATCATTTTTTTTCTAAAAAGTTAATAGATCCATTGACGGGTGATTGCTGATGGCAAAAGATCGATAGAACTAGGTGAGAGGCAGGCAAAACGAAGGACCCGGATGGTGTGGTGGTGAAGTGCGCTGCTCCCCGGTGAGGACGATAGCGCGTGTTCGTTCCCCACCGCATACACCTGCGGTCCGGAGTTTTGAAAATATCTCAGCATCATTGAAGTTATATTTCACAATGTATACCCTGCCGTTAAAAAGAATAGACAGTAAATAATACGTTAAATTCACATTCATTGTGGTTTAGAAAAATTCAATGCTCTTAAAAGTTCGCTACACATAACTGTGTTAAACAATGAAGAAGAAACCGGCGACCTCTTTCCGAGGCCATGCCATCTGCGGTATTCCACTAGAAATCATTGTAGCGACGAAAAAAGATGTAATGAGAGATAAATCAATGTTTCGATTAGAGTGCCATACTCATTTGGATAACTGTACGGCTCTTCTTCGCGAGTAGTGCAGACCCGAGCCGTGGCCATGTTCCATTTGCTCCCTTGTGCAATCGAAGTCCACGGTGGCGCTCTAGTTTGAACATGGTGACGTTGGCGAGGGCCATTCCGTAGTAGTGAAATCGTTCCCATCTGCGGTGCAGACGAATCACGTTAGCGACAAACATGTCCGCCAAAAATTTGGTTCATCGTCCAAGAAGACGCTTACATCCTCTTGTTTTCCACTTTACTGTTCTTTTCGTCCATCTGTCATCTATTTTTCTTATTCTATGACGAAGCCATTTGTGCTTCGCTAACGATGTATATCCTCGAGGATCTCGAGGACCAAATGTATTTCGGAGATTTGCGCTGCGTAATCTGGCTGGATCCTGTGAGTGCCGGTTAAATTTCAGTAGACATCCTTTGGGAGCTGTGTGAGTTGTGCACAGAATTCTTGATGCGATTGAAGTATCAGCCCGTGGTTTCGCTGCATAACAGAGTGCTGGGAGAAATTTTGAGTTAAAAAGGTGTGCGCGGAGTTTTGGGTCCCTTAGCAAGTCGGCAGTTTCTTTGAGAGATTCAAATATCGCCTATGCTGCTCTATTTCTTTTGTCTAATTCCTTTTCTATTTTGCTACCCTTGTGCAGTGAGTGCCCGAAGTACACGTACTAGCTTGTCTCTGTAATCAGAGAAACATCGATTTCTACTTGTTCTTCTTCGCAGTGTAAATTCTTTATGAACTGGGTATGCACAGTCTTATCCAATTTCCCGGTTTCCTGAGATCATTTGGCATCGTCTTCGCTGCGTTAGCGCTCGTTGAATAGATGGCGATTTCGTTTGCAAAACGAAATGCTAAAGATTTTCCATCAATACGTATCCCTTTCTTGTACCGGACGAGTTACCATCCGCTGCAACGCAGCTGTAACCAGCTTTGTTGATATTGTTTCGCCTTGTCGAACCCTTTTTTCCATGGGTTTGGTGAGAGATGAATGAGAAAGTTGTATAGTTGCGCACCTTCCGTAACAGTCATTTAGTGTTCATATATAAGATGCGCCACCTGTTTGAACGACGAGCGTCGATAGGATTTCATTTGTTCCCACACTGTCGAATGCTTTTACATAGTGGACAAAGGGCTGAACTAGTGGCGAGTGGTATTTTCACCAAATTTTACGACCCGTGATACGGTTTGGAGGTGGTCTGCGCAGCAGAATCTTTTTGGAACCGTACTTGCTCAATTGGTTGTGGGTCACGCAAAAGTCTTCGATAGGCGCAAAGAATTAGTCTTCATGCACAGCTTGTAGATAACAATCAAGATGACGCGCGATAGCCATGGCGATCCTTTTGATCACCCTTTTCGAGCACCATGGTTATGAAGTTTTCTGCCAGTCTGGTAATTCCTCCTTTTGAATGCAGATCCCCCAACGGTCTACCGCCTCACCGTGGCTGGGAGGTGTTCCTGGGTGTTGGGCTGCGATGTACAGCGGGGGATTCGCCCCTGGCAAGGTCTCCACGCTGAAGAAGCCACCGTTTCCATCAGGAAATCTATCTAAAAGTAAATCAATACCAGGATCCACCACCCTTTTGGTATTGAAGTCGCATAGTGGCAAATCTCCCTCTGATCCACAAGTGCTGCATTTGCTCATGGTTTTGAAGACTTGGGGCAGACTTTGACCAGGATGGCCTCGGGATTCCAGGAAGCCACAGTGCCTTAACCAGCAAATCTCCAAGAAATGGAGATTATACTGGAGCCCGCACCACCAGTGAGGACAGGCCGTTTAAGTATTAAGTACCAAGTAAGAATGCAAGATGTTATGTGGATTGGGTAAGTACATGTGATCTATCGGTTCCCAGTCGAAGGAAGTCGGCGGCAATATTATCGGATCCTGGAGATTTGTCTCTGTTCATGTTTTCTGTCGTTGCGCGAACTACAGGATAAAGAATCCCTAGTGATTCTTTTCTAATGGTGATTTCCAGTAAGGATTCGAGGTGGGTAGTACTACAGGTTTACAGAAAATGAATGGCCTATTTTCCCTTATAAATTCTACGGGCACATTTCGTCGTAAATAAATATCTATTACTTACTTTCCTGTTGTACAATGTTCTAGAGCTTGTTTCTTAGTCCACTATTAGGTAGATAATACTTTCATCTTCGTGTAGTAATTCCCACGACAGACTTTCTATTAGCCACAGCACTGATCAATAAGTTGTTTTCTCGGAAAGCGGACACTAGGTTGTTTCAAGGCATTTGTTCCACAGTGGCTAACCTTCCGGCAGATTTCGTCTTCTCTCAGAGCATGGAAAGGGGTCACACATTGAGTCCCAATCTACTCAGTCAAACACTTTCATAATACAAGCAGGAAAAAGCTCAATACATAAATTTTATTCTCTTCTTAGTAAATAGCTTCTTTAAACACTCAGCCTCTTGTTCCTTGCAAGTATCCCAGTTATTGTTGGAGACGAACTGCACAGAGTCTTGCATGGGTGAGGAACGTGCCTAGGTCCGAAATTAGATCTAAGGTGGGGGAGAGGTCACGCGTAACTACAAGACATTTCTCTTTGCTGATCACTCCTGGGTTTTTGAAATTCATCCAAAGTTAGTTAGGCAAGTAAGGGAAGAGATTCGAAGCTCCGACCTGCGTCAACGATCAGAAATCAAAGATGTTGTTCTGTACGCGAAAAAGTCGAAGAAAAGGTGAGCCGGACACGTAATGCTCATGAACGACAACCGATGGCCAAGAGCCGTTGGTGACTGGATTCCTCGGAATGTTAAACGCACTGCAGAAAGACCACCAACCCGATGGTCAGAGTTCTTCACAAAGCGTCTTGAAGAAAGATATGGTGCTCGACAAGTCTCTAGAGCGAGCAGAACTCACTGTGTTACTCTTGCACGCGACAGGGAAAAATAGAGGATTTACTGGCGCCCGCTCGAGTCACTCGACGATCAACGGGTCTACAGGTGATACAGGTGATGCCACGGAACCTTTAGATACACAAATACTTGTTTGATTTGATGGTAACATAATTCCTCAGAGATAAATTCAATTTTTTTTCGTGAGAACTGCATACCTCGAACGACCGAGAAATGTTAGATTTCTGCAGGTTGTGAATAAATTCGCGTTGCCATTGGTGTTCGTCGTGCTTTGTTGTATATTTTCATCATTCCTCGGTGCCTTCGTCAGATTCAACGGTTCTGACTCCCTCATGTGTACTTCTGGAGGTAAAACCTCAATCAGACCCCTTCGTGGTTGAGATTCTACACTTAGGAAGCGGTTAATTTCTAACTGTTGTTCGGCGTACTGGTTTAGCTTAGGTTCTGCATGATGGGTGACCAGCCGGCGGACGTAACGAACTACTACGAGACCAAGTGGGTGCGGCCGAACTGTACTGCCGACGGCTTGCGACCGCTGTTCTGCTCCGACAACGGCACCTGTGACGCCTATTACGAACGCGTGAAGAACGTGAAGGTGTGGCGTGGTAGTCATGTGCCAGCCATCCGACTTGAGGTGCAGAGTTTCTTATTAGTGATGTTAGCGATGACCAGCTGAACCAGTCAATAAGCGCAAACCCTAATCTGTACATGTAAAGGTAGTGAAGGAGTGAAAAAGCTCGATAAATGAGTGCTTTACGATTTAAGCGAAAAAGAAGGAAATTTCTACCATAAAGTTCGCTCTCTGATTCTTTCACAAAACAATTGTAAGGTATTTTTCCATCACATTGTGACGTGAAACGTGAGTCCTGTACAATTGTCGATGACATTTAACGCAGTGATTGGAAAAGAGAAAAAAGCACTAAAACTTGTATAGCTTCTTAGTACCTCCTATGGTCCAATTTGCAGAAAAAAATGGTTATGACGACATTTTTTTTCGCGACTGATAGAACCATCTACGACAGCTTCATTCATCCTAGCGGAAAAAGGCACCACGACAGAGTCTAGATAGGTAGATAGGATAGATAGATAGGATAGATGAGGTGCTTCAAAAATCAGAGCGCATCTCTTCCAAATTGCACGACAGAGGAGTCCAATATACGAAAACGGTGGACTACATTAATTGGACAGATAGCATTGCAGAAGTCAAACTAATTGAGTTGAGTTAATTGCTCCAGAAAACTTTGCCCACACTCGCCAGCCGACTCCTATAAAAAATATTCAGACTCTCGCCAACCGACTATCTTTTCCACTCATTTCACCAACAACTTCCAAGAAAAATCCTCAACAAGGAGCAGAATTCTGTACTACTGTAACATGTCTAGATGGTAATAACTCCCATACCATTTAATAAAACTGGAACTGAAACTAATCATAGCACTTTTACACAATAAAAGCACCCATTCTTTTTGTAGTGACTTTTATACACCGATTATGAAGATGCTATAATTAAACAGTACTCAGGGGCATCAATATTTAAGGCATATAGCGCCTCATTTTCCACCATTATAAATTATCCATATAATATAAACAATATATGTGAAACCAGAACGGTAATAAAATGTTCTCATTTACTTTAAAAGGTTAACAGACCAGGAAGAGGTTCGCCAACCCATAACGACGTGGTAGACCACTGATTCCCAACACATCCTTGAGTTGAGTGACGAAAACATGGGTCGACGCTCCGGTTGTGAAGCCGCCGACAAGTTCGTCGGAGAAGTACGTGGTGACGAAGTTGAGTCCAAGAAAGGCTGTTAGTACCTAAATGCTTTTTTTGAGTCATGACTGGACGAATTTTAAAATATTTATGTAAATGAAGTGTTCACCTAAAAATTCATCATTACCCAAATAGCAAGATTCTGCTGTGATGAGGAATGGTCAGGCTCAACTGATGGAAGTTAAAGATTTTGGTTTGCAATCAATTTGTGGTCATTTAGGACCTGAGGTAAACCACGACAACTCGAGAACAGCTTAGACTTTTTTGACATCTTAGTCCTTACTAGCAAAGCTTTGTAAATCACAGCATTAGATTAAATGATGATGGAAAAAAATCCTAATCTCTTGTTTTATCTTATCTTATCGGCCTCATGCTATCAGAAATGCTGAAGGAATTACGCCAAACGTGACTACCTGTATGAGACCGATAAGTACGGTGAGAGTCGAGGTGATTTGAATCGGCGTGTGTTCTATGGCAGAGGCTGTCAGATTTGTTAGATGGTCGCTGGAAAGGGAGTCCACAGCAGTGATTCTGTGTACAGCTTTACCAGTCATAAGCGCAACAACTGCAAAAGTTCCTAAAAATTGGAACGTGTTACCACAATTTTCGATTACTTCAGTTACATTTCTTTATGAGATTCTGTAGAGCGTGGCGTAGCGGATAGATATATCCTTCAATACGTAAAAGCTTCTGGTACCACACCAAACCCTCCACTTGGGTAGAGAACCTAGCGCCATACTTATTTGTGAGAACAAGAATATTGACATAGTATTTTATACAAACCGACTTCCATTTAACAGCAGAACCAGTAATCAAACTCCTGCTTCAATGGTGAGTACATAAAACTATTTTTTCACTTTTCATATGACCATTCTTCACTTCTACTGTGCGGATTCTCACATTCGATTCGTTTCCTCGCATCTATTATCCACGAAGATGTTCTAACTTTTTACGCGTGGGCTCAGCTACTGATAGAGGATTTTCATTTCGTCTTGAATGTTTTAGAATGCTGGTCGAGTCGATTCTCCCTGGAGTCTTGAGATAGCCGGGTTGGAGCGTTTCCAGTTGGATTACAGAGAGTGCCTTTTTGTCGGGCAAGTCTCTAATTTGCCGACACCGGAGGAATGACTTGCTTGGTTATCCAGGAGCGGAATCTAACTAGCACCATGCTCTTGATGACCGACATCACAATCGCTGTGCTATTCGCTCCCTATACGCAGAATTATAAAAAAAATTATATAAGATTTTAAAAATTTATTCGGTTAACCTTTCAGTGCCTTCGCCTTCGTCAGAGCAGCAATGGTCCGTTTATAGATATTCATTCTTGCGGTATGAGTCTACACAGTTGTATCAAGTCGAATCCAGTGCAATGAAGTGCCATTCGAATGAAGTTGTCAGTGTTGTGCTTTTATAGAGGTGGGATTCCATGACGATTTCGTGCTAGCTCATCAATAAAACAAGAAAATTACTTGATATTTGCCAGACCATTCGAAGTAATTTTAGACGCCAAATATGCATTCAGTCGCCTATAATCACCTCTAACGATGTTTGGTGAAGTCGAGTACACGTTGCGTCCTTCAGGGATTGGTCAACGTCAAATGCTTTATCTTTTTTTATCGCTTAATATTCTATCGCTTTATCCTTTTCAACGATTTATCTTTTTATTCTTTACCTTATTTTTGTTAGTTTATGTTAGTAGCACGAGCATGGTGCTAGTTCGATTCCGCTCTGGGCCAACTAAGCCCTCACCTCTGCGAGGTCGGCAAATTGGTACCAGAACTTGTCTGGAAAAAAAATCACTCTGTGCAATCCAATTGGGAACGCTCTAGCCCGACTATCTCAGGACTCCGAGAAAAATTCTTCGATCAGCATTCTACAACATTCAAGATGAAATGGATATCCTCAAGCAGCAACCGAAGCCACACGTAAAGTTGGAAGATTTTTGTGGATGATGGAGGCGAGGAAACGAATTGAATGTGAGAAGTGCAGGGATCCGCACAGTAGACATAAAAGGAGTCAAATAAAAAAAATTTAAAAAATTTTATTTTTGTTAAGTCTTTTCACAACTCTTGTTTTACTAAATGTGAAGCTATAACTACATCGAAGCATATGTCCTTTTTTAAATGCTTGCCTATTGAGCAATGCCTGGAGGTTCCAAAAAACATATAGATGAGCACAGGAAAGAGTGAAGTGTAGAGCCCGTTAACGGGATCGACATCGGCCAATAGTGCGTAGGCAATGCCTGAAACACTCTCGATGTTCTGCGGAGATTACGACATCTTTTTCTGGTGAGTTATCTTTCAATATTTCAGGGTTTTTTTCCCCTTTCAGAAATTCGGCTATCAGACAGCACACCACTCCTTCATTCTTGGTAACGTGAAAAAAAACTGTGGCTCACCTTGTGGAACGTGCATAATTCCCACAGTCAGTCCTCCAATGATGTCATGCAGCAGATTGGATTTGATTTTATATCTATAAAAGCAAGCATCATCCAAATGATTATGAAACAGGAAAAAATGTCTTTAATTGCATGATATTGAGGAGGCAGACACTGCCAGAGTGGACAGAGACGCATCCGAAAATTGCAGTTGGTAGTGGACCAGCCACAGAGTAAAAAACTGCTGACTTTTCACACGTCGGTTTCCCACCACTTATTTCACAAACCGATTTTACATTCAAAGCTGCAGTAAATTCATTAGTACAACTGAGATGTGGCAATGCACATGCATGAAGCTGTTAATCCCTGGAAGCTCCACAGTTCGTACCGTTTGCTTGGCCCTGTTTCTAATGTAATAGTTAGTGTGAAATCAATAGAAAACCATTTCGTCATGTGTGCCGCAGTGCTTAAGAGGAGGATCTTTGACAGGACTCAAACCCTGAAAAGCCAACGAAAGTTTGTTGAAGAGACAATTATATCGATTACTGGTATTTTACAGCGGCATTGTCTAAGTAATATGAAAGCAAAATTTTCACCGCGAAAAATCGTTGCCAAACAAATAAATAGTAAATCTCAATAAATCTAGTAAGTAAATCTAAAATCTTGAAAAATGAGTAAATCTTGGATTACTCAATGTCTTGAACAGACTTTGGGAGCCAATGGAGAATCGGCATAAAGGAGACGATAGTGGAAGCGAGGTTGTGCGGTGACGTGAATGGCCGCCAGTACTTCGTAGTGATCGCCATCATTTTCCGCCATGCACTGGCCTTATCCTTGGGTAATTCGTATTGGAATCGTTTATCGAAATCTTCCTGTAATTGAAATTTTTGCCACACGGAAATTAATCCAGATTTGAACCAAGAAATCTTTTAGGTGCGTGTGCAGTGTAATGACCAGAAATGCCCACAACAGGCACGTGGGCTTTGGCTCGATCCGGCGCACGGGCACATCAAGATCTCCGATCCTCTAGGTTAGACAGATTTGCTACATGATTAGTCTGGAAGGATAGAAGTTTTGATTTGGAACATCGGCAAGCTCCCATGAGTCATTGCACGAGCAAAATTTCCAATAAATTACCTTAGAAATGCCACAAATGAAGTTGAGTGCATGGCACATTCTTAGTCCTTACTCGACGAGGTGACGTCTATAGGAGCTATGCAGTTGGAAAATTATGGCTGCCTTCAAGTTTAAATCAACACTATCTCAGCTCACTCTGAATTCTACTAATTGCCTCAAAAACTTAAAATCTGCAAACATTTTTTACAGGATAAAAGCTCTTTTTTACTATGATAAAATTGTGATTTTCTAGGGCCCACTGCACATGCTTCTTCAACTTTACTGTTTCAAAGCTCGTTTTTCGAAGGCGGAAACAAGGTACAAGCAAGGTTTCGTCTGGGTTGACATGCTGGTGCTCAGCAAAGTATTGATTATGTCTGCAGTTGAGTTCTTCCGTTGGAAAGTTTAACAATCTTAAACTACGTTCATTGGTCGTTTCGGCGTTCTCATTTTTTTAATTTTATTCTTTTCATCAACCTCGTGTTTGCTTAGTAGTCGAAGGACGTATTGTTATTTCTCCGAGGTTTAGTGGAAGTAGGTTTGAAAAATATTGATCCGGCATGTGTCAGGCAATGAAATACCGATGGCTGTAGGATGCACAGCTGCCAAAAATGAGCATCATATTGGATCGCGACGACAGAACATCCGTCCAGTGTAAGAAGGCAGCGTCGACTGAGATTCTTCATTCGATCAGGGCTCCACTCATTGGATTCGACTCGATGTGAAAAAGAAGACGAAAATTTCGAGCACGACCACATCCGGATCAAGGACTCGGATCAGTGCGGCTACGAAGATGCTGAAACTCTGGCCAAATATATTGTCAATTATCTAAGCATGATCTTTGTCGTAAAACGGCTAAAAGACTAGTTAACAACGAAAGCTTTGTTCTCTTAATTTCAAGTCACCATCCGTCGTCAAAGTGCCATAGACTTCCTATGATGCATGAACCATTGAAGGATGCAAATATTTGCCGCTGTATCACTTTACTATTTTTTTCATAAGGAACACGGGAACGAACTGAGAACTTCGTGTTTACGGTACGGCGCCCCTAATAATTGCGCTGCACGAGTCCTATTTCTACACAGAGCTGAAATTTTTTAGATATTTCGATGTAATGGATAAATTTCAAGCATTTCTAGTACACATTGATATCTTCCGTTTTTCGTTGCTATTTTCCCGCGCTTAACGGTCTTTTTTCACAAGGAATCTCGCTAGTCAGCAAAGTTTCCATTAACCTGATACTCCACTGGTTGATCGGGATCTTCTTTCTAAACCTTAATGGTTTTTTGTACGCAATATTCAAGACAGAATTTTGGAATATAAAGTTCTTCGATGGTTTTGCTAGCTGCTACACGGTTATATTTCTACATTAGCCACATAAAAAAAGTGCGCGAAAATTTCAAATGATCGGAGTTAGACCTTTAAAAGTTTGATCTTCATTAATACTTCAGCGTTTTTTTTTCTACCGAATAATTAAAGTATTCTAATATAGAATGCGTCCAGGCTCCGAGGAAGGCGAAATCGCCGAAACGTCAGTCATCGACCAACAACATCAACAACAGCGACAACGACAATGAAGACCTATGCCAAACTCGCATCAGCTAAATAAGATCAGTTTATAAGATCATAAGATTATATAAATAAATATAGAGTTAGATGTACAAAAGTAAAAAAAGATAAACCTCTCGGCGTTGATCAATCCCTGAGGGATGCGCTATTCATTCGACTTCATTAAGCAGAGTTAGAGCTGGTTGAATGCATATCTGGCCTTCACAGTGACCCACGGTGGCCTACCGATGTATCGAACTAGTGCTGCTATCCTCCCAGACAAGTTTGGTACCAATTTGCCGACCCCAGAGGTATGGAAGGTTTGGTGACGGGGATGGATCCCATGTGCGTGTAGCAGGGCGCCTCCGACAACTGCGCCACACGTGACGTTTAGATTCAAAGTTAAGTTAAAGTTAGTTAAATCTTTTTAGCTTTAGTTACCTTTAGTTAAATCTATATTTATATCTATGTTAATACTTCTTGTAATTAGGCTTGTAATTACAATATTCCAGAAGGCATTGGTGCTGATCAGAAGTACCTGATTCATAGGTGGCCTACTCATAGTTGCCAGTGATCTGGAGTCGACTAATGTGCCCAAATAAAGGTATAAGATCAGATGGCACCTGCAAAAGGTAAGAGCAGGTAGTGAAATGTTGAAATAAATGGATCGAAGAGAGAAAGTTTTCCAACAAAGGCAACGTTTCAGGCCTGAGATCAACTCGGAGACCACAGATGAGAACGAATACGGTCGAACATTTCCAGGAAAGAAGAGAAATACAAAGTGGAAGAGACAACGTAAGTCGAAACGCAGTGCGAAAGTGTTACCGTACCGTTACGAAAGGTATATTGAATAATTAGTCAGCCAGTAGTTGTTATATTTGAGGTTGTTCTTTCCATACATAAAGACATGACAACGAACGACTTCATGAATAGAAAATCCTAAGCAAACATGCTGACGAAGAACTACAACAGGAAAATATCGAGTTTAATTCAACATTTACTGCCAGCATTACCAGCAAATTAAGTCGTACAGGCAACAAACTTGTACCTCAATACTGAAAGCAAACAGACGAACGAATGTCATAGAACTGGTAATGACTTGCAAAAAAACCAACTGCATTGAAAAGTATCTTCAAACAGCCTACAAAACAATGACATCACTCTCGTTCATTCCCTACTCTTCATCTCCTCCACATTTACTTTTCATCTACCTAACGCTTATCCATTATTTTCCATAGGACTGGTAGAAAATGTTTGTTAATCAATGGTGTGTGTGTGAATTATAGGAATTTTTCATGTCCAAACATCCTAAATATGTGAAGAGCAAAGCAGAACATGTAGAGTCGATTGTTGACTGAAGCAATAAAAACAACCTTCTCTCTATGCTCAGCAGTTAGTTCGATTTGGGAAACCTGTTTCCAATAAAAATGCGGTTCTTATCAGAATTTCTAGCAGGTTTTTCACGAATTAATCGCGGTTTTAAATTTAGGATATCTGAGCTCGGAATAAACCCTTTCAGTCAAAATAACCATTAGAGTCTACATATTTTTGTCAATGAAAAACAAGTTTAATTATGCCAGTTGTTTACAATTCCGAGCTTCTGGGAGCAAGGAAATCGTTGAGGTCAGTTGTGGCTACGACTTCGGTTTCTGCAGCATTCCTTGTGCAGGAAGTTGTCAAGATGCTGGAAGAAGTGGTAATTGTTAGGTGAGAGGTTTGGTGGGTACGGTGGTTGAGACGAAGCGTCGTAACCGGATTCGTTCAACTTTTGTAGTGTCGGTAGCGCGACGTGTTGTCAGTTCATGCGGCATCAGTTTGTCGACAGTTTTCGACATTCAAACTTTCTTCAAATGAGTTGAAGAGGCTTAGGAAAGCTTATGTCCTGCGTTAAACTTTTGGTCTTGGACCTGAAAAGGTTGCAGATATTAAAGGCCCGGGAGGTTGAGATTCTGATATCTGAGTGATCATTGTAGAAGGAACACAAGTAGTGAGAAGAAATAATGCAATGAATAAAGTCCGTTTTCCTTCGAATTCTTTGACGTAGCATAAAAGCAATGGAAACAAAACACATTAGCGCTGCGGGGGTTAATGTCAAGCTTGAAAAGGAATCACACAAGAACAGAATCTGCTTTCGTTAACTATCTGGTTCTTCATTTCGTTCCAACAGTCATAGTCGAATAGCAGATCGTCGACACATATGATTGATTTATTACGGTATAAAAACACCCGACTCCATAAGCCGCTTTACTGGGAAGCAACCGACTCTTCCGTACTGGGGTATTCTTCTCTATTTGAAACGAATGTTTGAGAAAAGAAGCCAATTAGAAGCCAAGCTGCGTAAAATCCCATGTTAGCCTGGCTGGATGTATTTAATGTTTTCTGCTGGTGTAATTACCAATCGTATTTTAAAACACATCGAACTTTGAAGATCGATACTGAAAAATTGCTGCAAGGGTACGAAAAGTGGGAAAATTAACCTCTTCCACAATTCATAGCCGGAAAAAGTATTACACCTTTAGTGAACTGTGATGAAGCGATAGATGTAACTTGGGCTTAGAACAGCACTCATTGTTCCCACGAACGCCTACCCTTCCAGGGTTTTAAGTTTTCAAAACTATGATTTGACGACGTACTTATTAACGAAGAATTAAGCACTCATTAGTCCTTGGGATGTCACGGTAAATCAGTGCAGATCGTTTTCGCGTTCGCATTTTAAATAGACTTAAAATGTAATGTAAATGAATAAACTAATATAATAAATAATAATAAAATAGAATAATGAAATAAATAAGCAAAATAAATAATAAAATGGAATAAAATAATGAAATGAATGAAATTTTTTGCAGCTCATAAAACATTCAGCATGTTGCTTCGAGATGTACATTTTCACTCCCATCATTTTCATTCTCGAATCTGGAGTAAGATTAACGAGGACGTTTTTGGGTATAAGGACCTTCTAGCGCAATGATTAGAGATGCAGTGCAGTACCACCTAGTTTTTTGGTACGATCCCGCCTCTAGGCGACTAGGCCACCACGCATTCCTTTAAATAGACATTGGAAAAGCATCCTCCGATTCATTAAGCAAAGCGACCGCTTGTGGTGAAGAGTTGGGAAAAGGTCAAACAAAGCTATCACGACACTCGAATGTCGAAAGAGTCAAGATTGACGGGCATTCAAAAATATCTATGCTGAAGATGAAATTGACAAGGTAAAACTTTCAAATGTTACTGAAAATGTGATGAGAGTGGGGTTGTCTGTAAGCCGAGTAATAATGGAAATGAGCTCTGTGATGTGCCGCCACTTGCAACGTTAAACTTACAAATGTGTCTTCACGGAGTCAATCTCGAGTAACTGAGCCGCTAGCACTTTGCGAACCACTTGTGCCAATATGGGTATGAACTTCTTTTGTTCACTATTGGTAGCTTTCCAAAGACAGGTATTCCATCATGCGTGGGACGTAAGAAACTCTTCTAGAAAAACTCAAAATTATACAGGGACCATTAATGTTGAAGACGGTATGCAGCATCCAGAAGCATTGTCTTTGGAGAGGCACAGAAATACCTCTGCTTGAACACTGGGATTCGACACTTAGAAAAAAACTTTTCATCTTGTTGAGATGAGAAGCCATTAAAGACGCCTCCCCAGAGTGCCTCGATGTTCAAAGAGCACGCGTTCATCAATGTGCTTAAACTCAGTCTTTCTTTAAAAACAGTCATTAAGCCTTATTATGCTCTCATTTTACATAGTTTAAAATTTAGAACTTACAAATTTACGCACACACAGAATATATATGTATATCCTTAATATGACTTAACAATAGCCAGTGATGACAACAACAATGATACTAAGAGCAACTTGCGATTGTTGCCTGCATTCCTAAGAAACAGAGGATGTTTAGAGTCCATTTATAAGTACCCAAAAACAGTTACAATGTTGACGTAGAACTCTTTACTCACCATCGAAAAATCGAAAACCTTAACAGAAACTTAAAATTCTTGCCTACAGCAAGTAATCTTTATGTAGAAGATCGTACCAGTGATTTAGGCAATGTACGACTTCTACTGAAATATTCTACACACATACTCTCCATTCTTTCGAATTCTTGGTGCCGCTTTCGTCAACGGAAGGAGAACTTTA